TATGGTTAAGCAGTTGCATCTGCCGACGTCTCGTCCTACGTGGTACCACAAGCTGTCGTAAAGAGCTCATCCAACGGGCGAATGAATGTCGGTGAGCAGGTAGAGACGACAGATCGACGAACACGTAGAGCCCTTCAATCTCAATCGAGGATGGTGGTGGGAACTCGCAAGAGCCAGAAAACACTTTCTACCACGACAGGAAGGCAATAGCTAACCAATTCTAGCACATTTGAAGTGACGTATTATTCCGCTGTCGAATGCAAATCAGAAATCTTTCCCTCGGGAGGACCTGGGGAGGACATAGCGCACAAGATGGGCATTTCCGGATTTTTCAGAAAGGACAGAACATACGTTGCCAAAGTTGAAGGTAACGATGACCCAGGGTGGGTTGAGTGCCCTTTTGGGAGGGATGACATTGTAGATACAACTGATCTTTCGTGTAGGTCTTGTAGACGCGTCATACGTCGTCTGTCGCTAGCGCGCCGTGATTTTACACAACACAAGGGCGCCTTTGTCGGCCCTCGCGTCATCTATGCAATCTGCATCAGATCCTGCAACACGATCAGTCCGCGGCACACACAAATTAAGAGTGAACGGACCGCAAGAGACAGCGAAGCAAACCTCTCAGCCTCGACCGCGCCATTGAGAACGGCATCCCTCCATCGTGATGTATCCTTATGTCGTAGCGCGACAAAGAGGGTACGAAAGCGGGCTTTGTATTCTGTGGTGGTTGCTTCATCATGTGTCTCAAAAACGGTCGCTTCGATGATAGTGGCGAGCGCGAGTATCTCCTCCGTCGCTAGTCAAGGATAATTAGGATGAAGATAATAATCAGAGGGTATGGAGGGCACCCATGTCCGAATCAAGCGCCAGCCCGTCGTACATCAGCTCAATGCATTTATCGCGGATTGGATCGTCCGTCACCTTGAGAGACGTGAGGTCCCTCTTTGCGGAACGCAGCGGTGGCTTGGCGGGGGGCGGTGGTGGTGGTGATGGCGGTTTCGCTACTGGTCGTGAGAATCACTGTGCAGACGCGTCGATGCTACGCGTACCAGTCTTGGCGTCTTCTATGTCCTGTTTCCATTTCTTGACGAGCTCCTTAGCTGCGTCTGCGACGGTCTGGATGGGGTATGAGCGTAGTCTGCCGACTGCCAATCCCGCGCTCGTTTGCTGATGTGAAATGGTGGGTCCACAAACGACAACGGATGCATTAGGCGGGAACTCACCCTCAGAAGAGATTCTTTCACGACGACACCGTTCCTTAGCGTATCTAATAGCGCGAGTAGGTCCTAACATTTGAATAAATGAGGGTAGAATGGACTTGAAGATAACGCACCGACTCTTCGGTGAGTTTTTGCAACTGTTTGACATGTCCTTTGAGTTCAGCAGTGTCCATTTCGGTTGATGGAGATCTGCAGGACTTGAGGATCAAAATGAGATGCCTTGGAGATGACGATACAGATAAATACGCGGCCGGCGAAAACCAGGGCATTAATGGGGTAGTGGTAACCTGGGTCGTTGCCATCGACCCGCCGGGGGTTCGATTCCCCCTTAATGCATTCGTGCGAACCCGAAATTTTGCCTAGATAGTCTACCGTATCAATACCGTTACTAACCGCAGTAAACCAGAGGTGTATCAAAACCTCAGGTTTACTTCACCACCCTATGATAGAGCTCGACGGCCGCCCTCTCAGAGCTCGTCGTACGGCACCAGGATCCAGATATAGCCCACGCGATTGGTCGCATCGCATAATTTTCAAGTTCAAGTTGATCACATGATGCAACTCTCATTTCTGCGGTCATCATCTCTCCGGGCAACTTTCTTCGTTTTATGATTCACCCTCATCAATGCGATGGTGACTGGTGTAATCGCGAGCATGGATGTTCATGTGACCTTTTATACGTGGACTGATGGGCTAACAGTCTTGGTCTGCTTGGATGTCGGCATATCAATTTTTGACACCGGGATGCTCTTGTCTCTGTGAGGTATCGCGCCCGACGCAAACCTCATTATGCTCCAGGTGCGCTCTTCTGCTGTCGTAAGGGCAAAGCGTTGATGATCTTGAAGTTCGACTCAAAATGTGTCGTGGACTCAAGGATCGCAACCATACAAGTAAGATCGTGTCTCAAAGCTTTGCGTACGCGGGGCTGATGGCTCAGCTGTCTTGGTCTCCTTAGCTGATTGATTCGCAATTTTTGCCACCGCAATGTTTTTCGACCTGAAATCTCCTAGCCGTTACGCACGTTCCATTCCTCGTAGTTGAGAATTGATCTCGTTGTTTTTGGAGTTCACTTAAAAATCTATCATGCTATACGTGGAGTTTCCGCTTGCTCAAATAACGAATCTCACCATCCTGCAGCACATTCCGGTGATGTAAAGCACAGAACCCTTCTCTTTGCGTAGCACCGTGGACTAGCTGCTATGTGTCTGCCTTGCCTTCATGCGTCGTACCATTTTTTTTGTTGCGGAGTTCCACGGAGTGATTGAGCCTTCAATACAATCTGCTGCATCTCTCCATGGCACGAATATTGTATGTAGATCATCTCTCTCACACATTGGTGCAAGGGCCTCAGAGACGAACAGGTCCGTCATGATGATGCTCTCGACTGCCCTATCGTAGACTGATGGTCTAAGTGCTTCAGTCTCCTATTGGTCAAAGGCTCTCACTTTTTACATTCTTGTACCGCCAAGTTTTACATTCAACACAAGGCGCAGATTCTTGTCTCTGACGTGGCGCGACACTGGCGCCGTGATCTATCACACTCGCTTTCTGATTGCTGAGTTCCGTGGAGTGAGTTTTTCTTCTGCAACACAAGCTTAATGCACAATGCAGCTCTCCGGGGGACAACGTTGAAGATCTCTGATACAAGGGTGTAGAAGGCCTCGGAGACGAAAAGGTGCGTCACCAAATGCTCTCGAGTGGCCGTCTGATACGTGGACTGATGGTCCAACTGATTCAGCCTCCTCTGTGAGCTAGGACCACACCGAATTTTTGTGAACCAGAACGCTCTCATCCCGCCGAGTAGCCCATGTTCCCGGTCGAGACGTAGCGCCGTGGTCCACACTTTCATAGCCAATTGCTTTTTTGGGGTTTAGACTCGGAAATGTGTATCAGATCGCCGTGTACGACTCTCAGAGCTCTGAATGACGTCTTGAAGTTCGAACGTCGCTCTCCGCTCTTCACTGATGTGGAGGCTAGGATTCTCCTCCTCTACGTAGCTTCGTGGGCGAGTTGCTTCATTGCTACCTAGAGTTTCTAAACATCTCTTTTTCTTGGCTGACAAGTGTGTGCCGGCCTAATGTTCTCGTGCCATCTCACATCCAGCTCATATGCCCCAATTTGTCCATCTCCTTCACGCCGTCAAAGCTCGGATTCCTCCTCTTCTCGTGGCTACGTGTGTACTTGCAGAATCACGATAGAGGGCAATTTTTTTAATGCCACGGCCTCACGCTCGTTGTCAACAAGTTGAACCTACAAGTTTGTCATTCACTCTGTGGACTGGTAGTCCAACTGCTATAGTCTTCTATGTTGTGCTCAGGCATCAGTTTTTTTTGTCAACGAGGACTGTAGAGGACTCATACTTGTACTCTCTAGACATACATGGCGACTACCAATGCACAGCCAGTTTTGTTTTGGTTCGACCATATGGCGAGGCTTTTCTGTTCGTGGATAGGCCCTCTGTGGCTCAACTGCTCTGGGTCTCCTCCGAAGCCAGGGTGAAATGTTTTCCAATCGACGTCTTTTTGCTCCCATCGAGTTCTCTTGCAAGTCGGCACGCCTCTTGCTTTCAACGCTGGTGATTCTCCTCCTCCAGGTAGCGCGCTACACAGAAGGTAAGTTTCCGAGTTCATTGTGTAGCATTCATGGCAGAGCGCCGCCGCCGCCGTTTTGGTTTGAACAAAGAAAAGAGGGTGTCGTACGTGTTTCAGAGCAGACTTGTACGTAGACCCGTGGCCTAAGTGGTTTGGGTCGCTCATTCATAAAAAATGCTGTTCTTTTCTTTGCCGTTGTGCTCTACTTCAAGCGACTGACTATACTAATACTGCGGCCACGATTCGTTTTAGCGACAGTTGTTCATCTAATGTGTAATTAGCTGCTAGGTGTCTATCTAAGACCCAAGTGGCGTAAAATGGTTTCCCCCAATCCTCACTGGCATCTCCTCTTGATGCGAGAACCATTCCACTTCACGCTGCTAGTAACTTGCCACCTCGCGTTTAATGCCGGTACACTGCTCTGCTCGTTTGGATGGCAGTTCCTCGTCTAAGCTGTAGCACGATAGATTAGCTGCTATGTGTCTTTATACATGACGTGCTGTGACATTGTTTTGATTCCCTTGCCTCAGGTGCGGGACTTGGGGTCTCCTCTCAACAATCAACCACTTCATTTGGCGCTCTCCTTCCCGCGACGATTCCTGCACCTCACTTTTAATGGCAGTACACTGTGACAGTCCCTCGTAGCACCATAGTTTAGCTGCTATGCGTCTACATATGTAGGCAAGTTATTGGCGCCCACCGGGGACTGTTTTTATTGCCTGGTTCGGGAGTCGGGACTCCTCTCAACCATCACATATGGAGACTACGTTCTTATTGACACTAAAACAACGCAGATGCTACTAGTGTTTACTAATACTGCCAGGGTGCTCTTTTGGGTGATAGTTCCTGTAGCACAATAGTTTAACTGCCATGTGTCTATCTCGATGGTGGGACACGTATTTTAGCAGTGTTTTGATTCTCTGAGCGCCGCCGCTTCATTCATCATGTCGAGTGCCCTCTCAACAATCAAGTTCGCATGCGACAACTAGCACTCTCCTTCACGTGGCGAGCCTTGCACAGGCTCATGTAACGCCGCCACATTACTTCCTCTCGGTTTGACAAACAGCAACAGCTCCTCGTGAAACACATAGCACTCTATAGAGGAGCTGCTATATCAGCATGGATGTTTTAATTCCATCCATCATCTCCTCTAATCTGTGATTAACGACCGAGGCAGGTTTTGTAGGTCGGTATCGATTAGGGGTTAAATCACCTCGTTGTGGTCAGCTTTCGCATCAAAAGATGCTCCGAGGAGCCACTGGTTCGATTCCAGTTACCGACACTTTGTCAGTATATCGCTTTTTTTTCTTCATGAATGCCACAGCAACGTTTCGGCGGTGAATCTTCTGTGTAAAAGAGGCCGCACATGAGCGAACAGGAACTTTGGTGCGTGAATGAACATTGATGTATTATAGCAGTGTGGCCGTTGAGTTCTAACATAGCGACTAATTAGTCTTCGAGCTCTTCTCCACACGCCTCAATCACCTCCTGGCGCCCGGAGGTATCGCTCCCTCTGAGATTGACCCCGACGGATCAACGAGCCGACGACCTCAGTTTGGGGGGGGTGCTGATTGCACCACAGGTCCACATCGAGCGCTAATATCCTCGTGCTTGGTGCCTTCATCGCGCGCTACTTGTGATCTCGCCTCCTCTGCTAATTTGACACGTTACGCGTAGTACCGCGGAACCATATGAATTTGACCTCGAAGATAGACTTTTGTCGCAGTGAGTTTGATACGCCACACGTTTCAACTTTGCAAGTGACCGTGTATTAGCGAAGATCAGACGTCAATTGCGCGCCGAAACGGACTAGCATACGAGCGCCGACGATGAAATTCTTCGGGTTGACAAGAGAGATTAGGGTTCGTCGCGTGTGTTTCGAAGCGTGCGCCGCACGTTTGCTACTTGACATTCTTGCAGAGAGAACGTCCGTCGGTCAACGAATTTGGAGTTGCCTTCAAGTTTGGATCAACGGTGTGCATTGACAGACGTGAACACTTGACGCGTCAATGGGACTAGCGTCGCGGAGGTACTCGGTAAGATGCGTCGAGTGTGGGTCACCACCAGGTGGAGAGCAGCGTGGGTAAGATTGCAGCGAGTATAGATGATTAATAGACGTCTGCGTGATGTGGTGATAAGCGTTGCAATGGGATGGCGAAGCACGTCAGCTAGGCGATTGGAAGATAGCAGCATGGTTAGCAGGCTGGGATTTAGTCATGGGTGAGGGTGGGCACGTAGAATAGACCCAGATGGACGCGATGTGTCTCGATGGTTGTGATGATAGAGCGGTCGTGCGCACTGTAGATGCGTTTCAGCGTCATCAAAGTTGTGGTTCTGAGAACCCTCTCACTCCTAGCCATGCTGCTCAACCGCGCTGATCAGGCAGCCTAATGGGATCGAGTTTGAAGGTAGCGCAAGGATGTTTCAGAGATTCGGACGGACGGACGGAGGACCGGAACAAGTACAGATTTCGACACGGACTAATGTTACAGAAAGCAGAATAAACTAGACCAAGGCCTCTCCGACAGTGAAATGGACGTGATCTCCCTCGCCGAGAGTGAGCCTGACGGGCAGCCTGGGGTCGATCCTCACAGGCGCACTGCTCCCTACGTAGAAGTCACCCCTCTGAAACCCACGAGTGATGGCATTTGTCTCTTCCTCTGTGAGATTCCTCGGCCGCTTTGCGGGGCGAAACGTGCTCGAGGAAGCGCCTGTGAACGCACCATTGTAGTCGTAGTACTGGGTGGTGTGGGTGTTGGCGGGCGGAGCGGGGGTGCTGTAGGATGGCGGGGGTGCCGGGGCGGGTGCGGAGGAGAGAAAGGTTGTTTGGGAGGGATCGACTGTGGTGGACGTGGGAGCGGCGGAGGATGGGGTGGAGGGAGGATGGGACGGATGGTCTGGATCAGGGTAAGCGCAGGATGGGCCGAGGCCGCGCTTGAGGCAGGACTGGCATGGAAGGACCTCTGAGCATCGAGTCTTGCCGGTGTGGCAGGCGACGCAGGCGCGGCGGACAGAGGGAGCTTTGGCTGCAAGTTTTCAGGAAAAGAACAAAAGCAATTTTGAATGAAAAACGAACGTTTGCGCTCGGACTGTGGCTGTGGATCGAGGTTGTTGTTGTCTGGAGGAATGGCCGACATTCCGGGGCTGATTCGGACGGCGGTGGTGGTCGGTGGGGAAGGTGTGCCGGCGATATCCGGCCCCAGGTTATATAAGTGGACACCTGGGGCCGGCTACCAGTCCTGGCTACTGACCACCACGACGATGGACCATAACCCGTACAATCACCATCATCATCACCACCACCAGCATTATGCCTATCCACTCCCGCCGCCGCCGCTGCCACCGAGTGCAGAGCTATTCGCACCAGAGGAGACTACAGACCTCTTTGGCTTTCTTGACCAGTTCGGCGGTGGTGAACCGCTAGAATATCCAGCCAATTTCTGGGACCCGGCTCCATTTGACTGGAGCGTACCAACACCACGGCACCCTCCTACTCCCAAGAGTGCCCCAGCAGACGTCTACCATCAATCATATCATCCACCCTTACCTCCTCCGCCCATGTCTGCCCCTCTTCCTCCTCCTCCCCCCCAGCAGCAGCAACAACCCACACCGAGTACGACGCCCCGTACCGCATCCAAACCACTCCTATCTACGCCACAGAAACGCCTCAACCACATACTCTCTGAACAGAAACGGCGTAATGCCATCCGTGACGGATACGCTCAGCTCATCGCACTCCTCGGTGATCCCTCTTCAGCAATGCCTACTCGCGGCCGTCCAAAAGGCCGCGGAAAGAACACAAAGGGCAAGAGCGGCGTCCTCTTTCGTGCAGTAGAGTACATCCACTGGCTAGAAGAGGGACGTGACGCTCTTCGCCAGGAGGTAGAGAGCAGGAGGTAGCCATACGCGTTTTTCACATGGCAGACGCGTTCCGCGGATCACTGTTTCACATTTCCCCCTCGACCAAAGTACGTTATTCTTATCGCTATACCCGTGTAGAATTATAAAGAGCAACTTGTATCAGCACATTGGACACAACACACGACGAACGTAACATAGTTGAGATGTACATTGATCTGGAATTTCCTGAACTAGTCGATACACTAAAACAGTCTGGAGCTAGCTATTCCACGTATGCCTCGCAGCGTCACCCCCGCGCTCCGTGTCAGTCGACAGCATCAAAAGCAACCTGAGAAGCTTCCAGCATAAGTATCAGGCGGAGACGATCCCGATTCGCCAAACGCCCACGGGAGAGATGAGCTGAACCAAGTCGACATTCAAAGAAGCACAACGGAGGCGCCTGCACGTAAGCATACGCTGACCAACAAGGGTCAAGAAAAACTGTGGCGTCAGACCAAGAATACACGGGAGGTAAGTCTTCGTCAAAAAAAATTCCAGATAAGAAGCCAGCAAAAAAGGCCATCAATGGTTCACGATATCAGAGCACCTAGCTAGTGAGCTATGAGTCTCCGAGTGGAGGTTAGCTAGACGTAAGTACTTGACAAAGAAAATGGGAGGACCTCGACACCAGATGATACTGAGAGTACGAGTGTTGTTGAAATAAAGTCGGCGGACAACGGACTCAGACGTGCTTGACATGATATGCAAAGCAGATAAGAAAAACAAAGATTTCTGCCAGACAATTGGGCGACGACGAAGCTTCGAGGAATACCCACTCTGTTAAAGGAGCAAACAACAGAACAGAGATCCTCTAGCAGAATTTGATGACGCGAACGCCGGATGATCGTCAAAAAAGTATTTCAACGGCACCCAAATGTGCAGCAGTCCCGTCCAGCAGCTGAACCACGAGTCCGCCATTGCACGTCCCCAGGGAAGAGACGAGCAAGAACACAAGTCAGAGAGATACACGTAAACCTAAACTGGCGTCAGACATTGACACAAGACAGACAAAACTTGACCTGTCGGGAGGAACTTTTCCTTCTGTCAAAAAATGCCTACCAATTCCCACATATCAGATGAAGGCCGCTTTCTCGCTGGACCACGCATCCGCGTGAAAGGCAGCAATAAGAAAGCCCTTGTGCACGTTCTGGGCAAAGGAGCCCGCACAACAAGTCAAAAAGAATGGTTGCCACAGGGGGGTTATCAGAAAGTTCAAGACACTGGTGCGACCGGTGCGTCAAACGCCCACAACAGAATACTATGCGCATCATGACTCAACAACAGACTGCACGTTGAACTGAATTGACACCCCCGGCGGCGGCCGTCATGTCTTCGGGCTACGTACGCCTGAGTGGAGGTTAGCTAGTACTTGACAAAGGAAAGTGGGAGGACGGACGGACGAGTCACGGGTGTTCTTGAAAAGAGGTGGCGAACCAGAAGAGAAAACCCAACATTTCATCTACCACAATTGTGGTGATGACGAAGCTTGCCAGACAAGGGATTCACATACTATTGAAGAAACAAACGACAGAACAGAGATCCTCGAGCAGAACTGCTTGATGACGCGGACGCGGACGACTTGTTGAAAAAGTTTGCAAATCAGGAATGATCCACCAGCAGCTGAACACGAGTCCGCATTCCACGTAGGCCGAAAAAAGCGAGGGAGATGATCAGCACAGTTTGATAAGTTCAGACACTTTTTTTCTGTCACGGCCAAAAAAAAACTGCACGTGTCCATACGAGAAGAACGCAAGAGCATACCAGAGAGCAAAGTCAAAGCGATGAGGTGCGACAACAAAACGTCTGGTAGTATCCTAGGCAAAGACTTGGAGGCACAACACGCGCGATCAGCTTGACATGATGAAGAGCACAACAAACCCACTCCTATTGGCGCCGACAATCTTGCCGTGCGCCAAACACCATGAAAAGGAATACACACTTCTATCACAGAAACAAACGACAGAACAGAGATCCTCTAGCAGAACTTGATGACACGGACTCTTCAATAGTTTGCAAATCAGGAATGATCCCACCCAGATCCACCGGCAGTTCCGTCAGCAGCTGAACTACGAGTCCGTCATTCCACGTAGCGCTCGTAGCATAAAAGCCCAGGGACAGACCAGACAGTGAGTAAGTCAAATTCCCTGGAATGCGTACTCTTGAAGCAAGTCGGCGGACCACGCTCTGTCAGCGAAAAGAAAAATAGACTTCAGTCCAGACCTATTGGGTGTGACAAAGCTTGTCGATGCCCACGAGATGCGGTGGATAGAGACACAAAATACCAACACAGAACAGCGAAGCCGGCGATCTACTCATGCAGCCGAAAGGGGAAAAAATGACTGGAGAATCGATATGCAGGACTTGACAGCATTGTTTGCCAAA